GTGCACCACCCATGGACATGCGCTAGCTTACGGGCCGGTATAGCGATCGTAAAAACTCTTATGGGCCTGGCCGCTCTCATTCTTCTCTCTGGTAATAGCAAGGGAAGTACGGAAAGAGGTCACAGGTTACGGTTGTATATGTGAAAACATCTGTAATATTAGCGACATGAGGTCACCCGGGCACGCAACACCTCATGTCGCTAATATTACAATTGTTTTCACATATACAACCGTAACACGTTTCTACGCGTGCTAAGAGAATGCTTCTGATTCATTATAGCAAGACGTTTTGGGTATAAACCGTCTGTGAACAGCGAACCTGTGAAAGGCATTAAGAATAAAAGAAGCAGTGGAAACGAGATTGTCGCAAATCTCTTTTATCCACAAGTTCCCGTTCTTTTCCTGACAACAAAGTAGGTATCCCGTTTACAAGTGTTAAAATACACCAGGGATTTACTTACAATAGAGATTTTAGAGAAAAAACAGATGCAATTTGAGCACTATTTTTACCATGGATATCATATATGTAATACTCCTATATTGCTAGTACGGTGCTGACCTGAAGCTCACCGTTACGGTGCAGACAATATAGTAGCCTCTCTCTCCAGCTGCTTTGTGCGCATGCGGTAAATATTCAAGCACGCTTGCGCATTTCTCTTTCTCGCGTTCTTTCTCTCACTTTCTAATGCTTTGTCTCGTTCGCACTCACTTGGTAGATGCGCCTGCGCGTAATGACGCTCGACCATCTATGGCCATATTTGGACTTCGTGCGTCTCCCTTTCTCGGGCCTCGTGCCTCTCATTGCAAAGATACGCAACTAGCCACGGCTGATGGATATGGACTATATTGATACAAGCTACAGGTTAATACGTGCAATTCGTGAAGGAAACCTAGAAAGAGCAAGGGAGATACTTCCTTATTATGGACTATCTTATTCACAAGTATGGAAAGAAGGATATGTTTTACTTTGTGATGCTATTGAGAATAGGCATACAGAAGTTATTAAACTACTTTTAACATACGGTTCTAAAGTTAACAGCAACACTGGTGAAACTTATAATACACCACTTAATTTTGCTGTTAAAAATGGTGACATAAAAATTGTTAAGATGCTTCTAGACAGACGTGCTAACGTTAATGCTACAACTAGGTATGGCACAACTCCGCTTCACAATGCGATTGTAAAGGAGAAAATAGAAATTGCTGAATTACTTTTAAATCATGGAGCTGACGTTAATGCCAGTGATAAATATGGTATACCTTTATTATGCAGCTGAGAAAAGATATTTACAGCTTGATGAACATCTTTTAGAACATGGAGTTTAATTGGAGAGTTAATTCTACATACATCTCTTTTTTTCAGGTGTTACACCACTCTGCCTTGCTGTTAAAACAAGTCATGTAGATGGTGTTGCTATGTTGTTAGACAGAGGTGCTAACATTAATGCTATATCAAATAACGATTATTATGACTTTTCTAGTTGCATCAATTGTGAAGAAATTGCTGATTTTCTTAAACAGCATATAGTTAAGATAAAAGCTGCAAATTTATCTGTAAGTGAACAAGTATTATCAATGAGCAGCAATTTTGAAATAAGGGATTTACAGGATAAATGTGAAAAAGAAGTAGCAATCATGAAGAATGAGAAAATTAGTAATACTAACATATCATTTTACGATATCTTGATAAAAGATACAAATCTACTAGCAATATATATAAAAAATGAAAATGTAGTGCAGGTTTTAAGATCAGACGAGTATAAAACAAAATTTCCAATATATTCTAGCATGATAAAAAATCAGTTTAGAAAAGGTATGAAAAAGAAAGAGTTGCTTGAACAAGGCACTAAAAATTTCTATTTTTTCTGTAACTTTTTTGAGCTACCACTTGAGTGTAGTGAACAGATATTTAGTTACCTAAGTGATAATGACATAAGAATTTTAATAGATACTTGTAAGTCTGTTAGTGTCAGTAATCTTAGTACTGATATTAATGATGTAGAAATTACTTTAAATTCATCTAAAGTGCTATGTGTGTAAGTTAAGGAAGAACAAACTATTTTAAACATGAAATAACAGCTATAAAAACTTAACACTTATTGCTGTATTTTAAATACAGATTAGTATCTTATTTTGAAATTATTTTTGTTTTAAGATTTTATTTTATTCTACTTTTTTGAAAGTTGTTTTTTACGTTTACATTCTCTTGGACGTGTTTTTTTATGGTGGATTCAAGGATAACTAGACTGTTTTATATCTTCCAATTTTTCAAACTTTGTGTCAGGTTTTATAACATTTGTATAACGCAAAATTTATATACATTAATCCGATGATACTTTTTTATTGAACAGAGTGTGACACGTGTAATTGCTTTTATTAATTTGAAAAATACAATTAGATTGGAAAGCTTTGAATTAATCTTTGTTGTTATCACAGATGTATGTATTTTCCTTATATATATATATATATATATATATATATATATATAAGAAATATGAAGTATATTTTAAAAACGTAGAAGAAACTTATTTATTGAGACATCTGGTACTTACAATTTTTTTTATTTATAATTTAAAAATACTATATTTTTATGTACAAATTGCACCAAAAGTTTTTATATTCTCATAGAATATATGAAGTAAACAGAGAAATAATATAAATTATAACATTGTTAAGAGAAAGGATTTAATAAATAATGTTCGTACACAAAGTGAATATAAATAGATGATAAAAAGTTTGTAATTCTGGTTGTGTATTCTTACATATTACAAATGAAAGACTACATATATATAGTTACTTATGTGAGAAGAACATAGAAAAACAGATTTATTTTATGATAATAATGTTTCATGTAAGGGATTTAAAGTATGCAGAAAAAAATTTATGAAGATAATATATATAATATCTATATAAAAAAGACCATACTTCTGACAGAAATTGTTATTATTATCTTTTTCTCATGTTTACAGTTTATCTATTCATATAACAGTATTGTAATGTACCATTATTGTAAGTCTACCATTTTGCAATAAACCGCTTTTATATATCAAGATGTACATTTCCTCTTTTCATGTATATTCTTTATATATTTGTATATGTAGATTCAAATTATATAAAATATTAATATATATAGATATATATTTGCAAGTTCTTTCTCATTAATCTTTTTTCTTTTGTAAGTACTTTGATTGATCTATGAGAACAATGTCAGGTAATCATTTTTTCTCTATTATTTCTCTATTAATACTCTACAAAATTCGAAATTGAACTATAAGTTTTATTAAATGTTTTTTCTTTTTAATTCACAACTGATTCGTTCCGTGGTTTTCATTGTAACATTTTTTATTTACAATTGAGATATCATGGGATAAATAACGTGGAAAAATAAATGATAATTAATTATTAGATAAACTGTCCGATATTTTATCTGAAAGTAGAACAACTTCGACCCTGTATATCTTGAGAAAGCGGATATCACGTTATCCTACGCTACATGTCTGTACCGACTTGTATACCGACGTGTACATATCACGAAATAGAACCATGTTTACCGCACATAGCACGAAATAGAATCATGCTTACCGCACATAGCACGAAATAAAACCATGTCTACGCGTGGATATAGCCATACGTATCGACAAGTCGCTTGTTGATATCACTACGTAGTTGCCAATGTGCACTACCCATGGACATGCGCTAGCTTACGGTCCGGTATAGCGATCGTAAAAACTCGTATGGGCCTGACCACTCTCATTCTTCTCTTTGCTATGGCTGTGTTCAGTTAAGCAAGATGGAACGAACTAATGCAGGAAATGCAGGAAATACAGGAATTGGAACTAATGAAACTAATGAAACTAATAAAAGAAGTGAA